AAAACAAAATTTATTCTCCAAATGCAATTAACATCTTCCAAAATTTTCTGCTGATCACTAATTGTCACTCAAGTGAACTAGTATCTGTTAATTCTACTCAAAAAATCAAAGCAAATAATGGTTTAATTGCCAATTTCTTGCTAACCAAAATGGACAACTTCCTAGAATTATAGAAAACACGTCAAAAACATTATCAAGATACTGAAAACTACATCGTGGAGTATAGGTGCTCCACGAAAACATGGACTCAAGGCAAAACTTTACTTTCTTACATTTTTTTTATCCACGTGGAATGTATTAATAAAAGAAAACTTAAATAAAATTGAACTTTCTCTTGAGATATAGAATAACTATAAAACATAATAAATAATATAATAAATTATAATTGTTTATTCTTATAAATTGTTTCATTTCGAAAAAAAATATAGTTTCACAAATTCTTTCATCAACAAAAAGAATACTAATTTTTGAAAGAAGTACAAAAATACTTTAACCATTATTGACATAGATATACTCAACTCACCTAGTTATAATTAATTCTCAATACATTTAATATTCATTCAATAACTAACACCATAATAATTCAATTTTTATAAGTTCAAAAGGACTAAAGCTTTTAACCTAACATGAATTGTATCCTCATTAAACTAATCACCGATAAAATACTCATTCAAGTCAAATATATTCTCACTATCCATATTTCAAGAAAGAAATGCTTCTCTTAGCGTTATCTAACGTGTGAAACATGAGTATAGTGCTTTGAATGCTGCATGCAGATGTTATTAGCAATTTTCTTCTCCCCTTATTCTTGTTTCATTGAAGATTGCTTCTATGTTTTTCTAACTATGTTTGGATTTCTCTGTGCAGAAGCTGCACCAGTGGTTTGTCAAGAGATTGGGTCCTCATAAGCAAACCTCTTCTTTGGAAAATGTACATCATAGATCCAAATCAACATCTTCATTGACCCTATAAATTGTTTGATACCGAAACCAACGGCAAAGATGGGAACACTTTTGTTTCTTGACTAAGAGTGTTGTGTTAGTTAATTGATGCCATACATCAATTTCTTTCCAACTTGAAAGAAATGCAACGTAGTTTTTTTTTTTTGGCTAAATAACTGTGTTTCATATCATTTATTATTATTTTGGAGTAGTTTGCCTGTTCATATTTTGCATTCTAGTTTCTTAGTAAATTAGTATTTTTTTTTTGATTAGCTAAAATTCCTTTTTGAGATTAAAGTTTTAGTATATTTAGTTTTACTTTCTGTTTCTGTAAATTTATACTTTATTTTCCCTACTTTATTATTATTTATTGAAATCTATTATATTAGCATTCACCTTTTGTAGATTATCAAATTTACATATGTTTGTGCTTGATAAATCAAAATTTTATATATTTTTTACATGTCTTTTAATTTTAAGTTTTAGTTTTTTGAGTTGTTTGAGACTTATTTTATTTGATTTCAAAAGTTTAGCCATTGATGAGAGCAGATGGCTTCAAAAGTTTAGCCAGTGGCCCAGCTGATATATTTTCCAACCCTTTGGAGAGTTCCTCACCAGGACCACCATCAGGCCTAAGAATTCCAAATTGATGCAGCAAGGCCTCCGTATAATTCATTCCTCCACCTAAGCGAACACCTGAAATACTAGCTGACACCATTAAACTATGACACTCTTTGTCCTGTTCGTTGAAGGGAATGACATGTACAATGCTTATGTCGAGAAAAGGAATCACAAAAGCTTTTCCATTTGATTGATGCTTCTTTTTGTTATCAACCCAAAAGACAGCTTTAAGGGGAGGATATCCATTCAAAGTGACAAGAGAACCATTTTCAACTGAATCTAACATTGTTCGATTCTCATTTACCAGGTTTCCCCCATTGTCTAGACAGTCCACCTCAATCCTCTCCCAAAACAAAGTGGATGAAACAGCAATAGCCCCACCAAGAGCTCTATGAGTAACTTTAATGAACAGATCTCTCCCAATAAACTGAACCAGAGGCATTTCATGGATATTGAAGGAGGAGGATGATTCCAGAAATCTAAGCTGGAGATCGTTTACCGTTAAACTCACAGCAGTATCACTAGGAACCTTCCCCATCAAACTTTGACTCTGAGTCATTTTTATCCATCTTAGGTCTTTTACTCTTTCCAACTATGGCAATCTTTTCACTAACCTTACCAAAGTATGTATAGAGATCCAAGACAAAAAAATAACTGCTCAGCAGAAGTATTGGATTAATATTGGTCACAAGCAAGCCCTACTCTGACAACACCGCCAGGAGGAGGAACAATTCTTAATGGATTCCCATCAGCAGATACCATAGCTACCTCAACAGAAGCATCTTTAACCTCGACACACCTCCACAAGCCTGAAGTACAGCCAGCATAACTCTGAAGTCCAGTTAAGCTAGCAGATGTTTCCAAATACAAACTAAGTTGTGATGCTCCAGCTGTCCATTTCTTCTGGCTAGCGTCAATTGGTTGACCCTCCCAGAGACAGAAGCAAGCAGGATCTTTCTCCAGGTTCAGTAGCTTGAGTTTTAGTGAAGGTGACTCAGAGAAAAACAATTTTTCAATATGAAGTCTAGCTCCAGCAAAGGACTTTTCAACAGTAAGGTTCCTTTTGCTACTAGGATTATCCAGTTTAGTTGTGTCTAGAGGAACACTAATGTCCAAGTCCTTGAGAGTAAAAACAAGGGAAATAACTGAAGAATCAGGTAAAACGGGGCCAGGATTTACAACTATTCCATCAGCTAAGAAAGAGGATATCCTTAAACAAGATTGTTCCTGAAGATGAATCTGAACAAAAAATGGAGAATGAGAATAGGTATAAAAAAGTAGCACAATTTGAGAAAGAAGTAAGCATTCACCAAAACAGCATACCATAAGTGGCTGGCATTCAATCACTGTTTGTGATGCAAAGGAAGTGGCAATGGAGAGGGCTTCACTTGAAGAGAGTGAATGCATATTAAAGGAACACCCATAATTAGTTGCCACTTCTGCTCACCTAGTGGATATATTGGAGGGCAGAAATTCTTACCTGTTCAAACACAAAAAGAAGAATGGAGCATGATTAGCTAACTAGACTTACGAGCATGATTAACCTTTAACATGAAAGCTTAAAGGAGGGGGAAAAAAAAAACCTTTTAACATATCATAAATAATTTAACATACCAAAATCAGGAATATTCACACAAGAATCCGTGACAGCTTCCATGGATGGTTGTACTAAAGTACACGGAGGGCGTGAGAAGGTATCCCTGCAATACAAATATTTAAAACAAAATTACACCATAACATACTAAAGTTGAGTTGCCTGTGTGTCTACAACAAACAATAAAATGAAAAGCTAAAAGTGCACAACACAAACAAGCTACTTTGTAACAAAAGTAAACTACTTGATCACCAGCTAATTCTATCATAATGAATGACAAGAAATACCGTGTGCCTAAATGTTTAAACCTAGTCTTGTATCCAATAAAT